GTGTCGTAGATTTCATCGTTGATTTCAATGTATGAGTCAACTAGGCACAGCCATTGGGAAAATTTCTCCCTGTCTCCGGAAAAGTCAGGTGGGTATCCAATTTTTCGTTCAATGGGTTTGTCTCCTCTTCCTGCCATAGTGGATGTTTGAGGTTCGGGTTCTTCTGGTTCTTCTGGTTCTTCTGGTTCTTCTGGTTCTTCGGGTTCTTCTGGTTCTTCGGGTTCTTTGTCGTAGTTTTCTTCTTCTTTGTCGTCAAGGTCAGCGGTAGAGCGTCAGGGATTTTCTTCGTCTTTATCAACAGGTGGGTTCTGGGAGTGTTCCTGTTGCGACGGTTCTTGGTTCTGGGATAATCCTTCCTCAAACGAACTATATCCTATTGGTGATGCAATGACCCCTCTGGTTATAGCAGATGGTCCTGCTAATAGGGATGAGAACGGGTTCTGAGGAGTCTGAGTGAGAGTTCTTTCTGTTCTGGGGTATGGGTCTCCTCCTAGAATTCTTCCGGCGGCGTGTCTTGCCTTAGCCGAGCTTAGCTTCTGGGAAGACGTCTTGTCTTTCTATTCTGGGTTCAGGGTTTCGGGGTGAGTGGGTCCCTCGGTGATAGAGGGGTTCAGAGTAACTTGAATCTTTTGTTACGACTTGGATAGTTCTTGCGTAACTTATCCAATAAAGGATTTCTTCATGTTACGACGTTCGGTTCAGACACTTGAGGGGCTCTCCCTCTAAGTGAAGTTTGAGTATAGACTAGTCTCTTATAAGAGCTAGATCGGAATCAGGTATCTTCCTCAGAAGATGATCAAGTATCAGAGAGAACCAAGTAGATTCAAGTTAGAGAATACAAGCGTAACTACTGCGGTATTTATAATGGCCAAAGGAGGCACGGACCAGGCCGACTATGGAAGTGAAAGGAGTCAAGAAGAACGTCAAGGAACTATCTGGAATGTTCATGCAGTGCATGTTGATAAACAGTCAGAGATAACAAGAATAGACGGAAGTATCTAGAATGTTCATGCAGTGCATGTTGATAAGCAGTCAGAGATAACAGGAATAGATCGGAGAAGCATGATGGTGAGAAAAATGATGGGGTCGCTGTAACAGCTGCCAGGTATGTCAGGACAATTCCGTACAATTAATGACGCAAATGCTTACCTTCTGATAAAACAGCCTCGCCATCTTCTTGTATCGCAGCCACCCCCTGAGCCTTCCAGATCCACGAAAGGGTGTGGTTGCCTTCGGATTGACCAAAGTCTCCCTCGGACATCCCGCGAATATCGGCCGCCAGCAGTTCAGGCAATTCTACCTCCCAGTTTGGTTTGTCCATGACCGCCGACAGCGTCTTCACTGCTGCCCAGGCCCTGCGATATCGAGCCACAGCTGTCCCGATGGTCTGCTCCACTTTTGCGAGCACGGAGGATGCCCTGGTGTTGGCCCGTTGCCCACGAATGTTGGCGTCCTTAAACTTGTAAAGGTGTGTGCGTAGACGAAGTTGCCGGCGAGCATCATCGAGAGCTTCGTGTGCTTGTGCACGCCGCAGCTCCCACTCGTATTCGCAAAGCTGCTCATCACACGACATCTCAGCTGCCTCCTTCAGCTTCGATGGTAGGAACAGTTTGATATCGTAGGCCTTCTCCTCGCGAGCTGATTGTGCATCCGCCAATGCACGCAGGCGGCCAACGGCAGGCATGTAGAGCAATTGGACTTTGCACCACTGCTCGATCTTGCGCAGCAGTGTGTTCGAACGCTCTTGCAGCTTCGTCAGCTGCAAGTCTGTCGGATGGCCACTCAGAGCATTATAATCTTGCTGCAGGCGAAATCTGTAGTAGATCGTGTTATTAGAATTACCAATTAGAATACTTTGAAATCTTACTGTTGTTCTTCGAGATCGATTCCCGATGAAATGAGGACGCTGGGTGATATCTCGGTGTGCAATGAATTGTTGAAACCTCTTTCGAGGTCCTCAGCTTCCTTTTGAGAAAGTCTAAGGCGCACGGCGGCCTGCGTCAAGGCTATATACAATCAGCGCACGTAATAGCCTAATGCGAATGATACTTACTGATGGTTGTTGTCTCGAAGGGGTTTTTGTTAGAAGTGTCGGCCTCCCAGTTTTCGATATCTTCCTTCCACTGTGCTACCTCACCCGGTCGTTCCTCTATGATCGTAAGGTGAAAGTCGTCGAAATCTTGTTGGTGTCGGTCTCGTTCAGGAACCGCGGTCTTGATTTTGCTCAGTAAACTGACGCCTCAGGATTTTCTTGGTTAATTACACTGAATGTGCTAAAGCAAACAACACGTACCGAAGTTCGTAACCTTCTTCCAATTGTAGTCGCCAAAGTGATCGTCCAGCGTATCTCGACGAGCGCCAGGTCCCATTTCTCGTGTACTTGTGGCCACGGGGTTGATATTGGCCCAACCCCGTTCTGGGGCTTCGCCATCCGTGCGGCCCATGCCCTTGATAAAATTGTGCGAAAATGTGATCTGACAAGCAGTTATATGGGCAGGTAAGTGAAATTTCGGAACGAGGAAGGTCAGTATTTTGCCATCACGCGCAAAGTGCACGCGCAATGGATAATTCGACATCCGGCCCCATAAATTCTTGCTCCATTGGCAGGCGATATCGTAAGACACGTTCAGTACGAGAACGTCTTCGGAGTGTTGCATGGTCGAGAAAAATAGGTAGTCCATATTTATATACCTGTCCGAAGAATCAGCAGGAATCACTCCGTATCATTGAATACATACCTTTCACCCCTCTGAAGATCACCTACTCCACATGGCCGCTTGAAGTTGTGGTGCGAGCAATCCACTGTCCCGGCCCCAGTCGCAGCCAGTCCTCGTGAGTTCTTTGTTTCTGCGAGATTTACGGCGTTGTGACTAGCACATGCGCTTTTCTAAACCGGATGTTTGAGTGATTGTATCAGAAAAAATAACGCTAACATACCTCTTGTGGTACCTTTCCGACATCGGCCAGGAATTCTTTGAACTCCTTCTCCTCGACAAAATAGGACCATCCCTTACTCAAACCGGGGTCAATCCTGTCCGAGGAAACGTTCTTGCGTGCCAAGCGGAAATTCGCGTCTATGGCTAGAAACTGTGCATATAGCCACCTGCAGGCATAAGTCAGTTAATTAAGTAAGGCGTGGTAAGGGCGTGAACACATACCGTTTATCTGGCAGTGCTACATTCCAGTCTTGTGGTAAGTTCTTGCCCGGGTGAGGGCATGCAGGACAAACAACGGCGCATGCCCCCTGTTCGGTTGCCTTGATCCCAGCGGGATCATGACCTCGCCCAAACCGCTTCAAAAGCTTGAGGTTATGCCACTGCTTGATCATGCGCAAAAGGCTGTCATAACGATCCTAAAGAATCCGTAGTTAGCGAACCACACTTGCATTCAGACATAAAATTTACCTTGCATGGCTTGGTGCCTGTATTATCGGTGAGACGTGCAAGCGTTTGCCAATATTCAAAGGCAGACACTTTAGATTCGAACGTAAGCATGTGAAAATTTTGGAGAAGACGGAATGTTGCCGCTGATTTCGGGTCTGCACTGGTCGCAGGATACCAGCAAGCTCACAGAAGCTGTTTGACGTGACTTAGTGCACTCTCGCAAGAACAAAAATCGAGGGCGAGTTCGTGGATGCCACCAATATCGAGAATGACGAAATCATCATCGTGTGCCCATGAATGATTGAAACATCTTTCGCCAACTGGGTGACCGAGCTGGACCCGGAGACCGAGATTCTTGAGTGTGGTATCCTCGAAAAAGGAACCGTTCCAAAACTAAAGGGGTGATTAGCACACAACGACTACGGAAATATAAACTAGGGCACATACTTCAATCTTGTGCAGAGGGTTTTCACGGTGTAGGAGACGCCCTGGCTGCAGCCCCGTACGGCACCATTTTCCCTTACTGGACGAAGTCATGCCTACCTTCCACAGGCTGTTGCGGACCATCACACAAGGTTGCGGAATCCACGCACTCTACGCATCGCATCGCAATGTACCGTCCGTCCATATCCTGTCCGTATCTGTCAGTTCCCACTGGTGCGTTCTTATCTCTTATTACTGGATCCTGAACATTCGCAGAACTATGCGCATACCGTTCCCATGCATGAGGTCGCATAGCGCTACTTACATATTATCCCCTCCGACTTCGCGTACATATGCGCTCGCTTATACAGTTCCGGTTTCTTACGGACTATGATATATACTACGTTGCGGACTCGTATCCAGTACTTTTCTACATTCCCTCTCTCGTGGTGTGTTGCGGAGTCGCTAGCTTAGTCTGACCTTGTCTTTCTTTGCTTGAGCAATTATCTGTTTGCCCTCTCATCCCGTGCGAACGCTCGCATCGTCATCGACAGTTGGCTATTGCTAGACTCAGTTGAGTTCACTCGCAAGACAGTCCCGTTGCGTCCTGCATATACCTGGTACCTTACTCGTTTTACCTGTTTACCTGTCCTGATACCTGGTACCTTCCCTGTCTCGCATACCTGGTATTCCCTAGACTTCGCATCCGCATACTCCGCATCCCCGCGCATCCGCACCCTTCTACGCATCCTCCCGCAAGCAGCTGTTCCGTCTCCAGCGCATCACTTCCTCCTTCACTGTTCCCCTCGCTCATACTTGAGGAACTGCTCTCCGAGCTATCCCCTTGGGTCGATTACTATTCTCGCACCCAGCAGGATCGGTACGCTATCACTATAGCGGACTTCTACGATTTCTCCCACAGCGGTGCCTGTTCACGGTACACTCCTGGCAGTAAAGCTCTGTGCCAAAACAGTCCTGGCATCGGTACACAGGCTCAGATGCGCATTCGTTGTGCCCTTGGCAAGTTTCCCTGAAAGCATAGTCTCCGCGTCCTTCGAGTCGGATTAACTCGAGAAGATATGTCTCGCGTTCTTGAAGCCAGAGCTTCATTGCGCGGTCCTGTTCAATTTAAGTTGGATTAAAATAATTATAAGATCAAAATGTATCATACACCGGCTGGCCTGAGAGGTTTCTTGGGCCCAACACTAGACTCCTTCAAAAAAATTTCATATGCGGGATCCACTGTGTCATAGTCTTGAAGTTCAGTGTCAGAGCGTCCATACGAATCGAAGCTAAAATCCTCCATAGTTATGTCAGAGCCCGATGGTGGGTGTGAGACGACTGAAGATAGCGCGTGTTCAGCTACAAAAAATTCTGTTGCAGAGGTTATATTGCCGGCAGGTGTACGAGTAAAGCAAGAATGTTTATGAAGAAGTTCACGCTCCTCAGCTCTGTGGCTTTGGGCTTGCTGGGGCTGACTATTGAGTACATACCAATCTTGCTTAAGCTTGTCCAATTGGCGTCGCTTTTTACTGACCATGGTGATTAGGCGTGGATGCAACATTTATTGACACAGCACGTAAACGTCACAAAGTCCACAGCACAACCAATGTGATCACGTGACACATACTACGTGGTACCAAACTTGACATTTTAAATGTCCAAGGGCCAAGGGAGTAATTACAGAGCCTCTGATCGATCAATCAGTGTTAACGTGGTTTTAATGCCTTCTGCCACACCAACTGATCAGATGCGAAAGCTTCGAAGTACGTATCTGCGTTATCGTCCATCAATGAGAGTGCTTCGTCCCATGCATCACAATGCAGCTCAACTGCATCAACAGTGGTCGCAGACCTTGAGATAAGATGGTCTGTACACGCACCCTCTGCATGTAATGCACTTGCAAGCAGGTCCCTGGCTTCTGAAAGAAGTTCCTGCGCCTCCGCAGCTACGTGTTCATAATGTGGTCTCACAACCTGCCAACCTTCGTCATCCGCCTCGCGGACAAGCATGAGGCCCTGTGCACTGAGCACCGAGTATTGAGAATGCCCTGGTTGATAGCCGAGGTTGAGCCATATCAGGTCTAGCCGTGCTAGAAGATGTTGTGTAGCCTGTCTCGTGGTTTATCCGGTTAGCGTTAAGTGTAGACTCGATAGTATGAGGTATACGCACCACAGTAGCTCCAACATGCTTACGCCAGCGAGTCCTGGACTTTAAACGCTCATCAAGCTTGTGCCTATATTAAGTACCGAAAATTGTATTCCATACTTAATGAAATCTAGACTCGGAGGCTTACCTTTCATAGCATTTGCGCTTGGATTTCAGTCGGGCCTCACGATGTTGTTGCTTGTTCTGATACTTGAGTGGCATGCAAGTCGAGCAAGGAGATCCAAAGAAGAGTGTAGTAGGAGTAGTTGTGGTCGATGAATGTGTATGGCCAGGCGTGTGACTTCCTTGAACCATAGTCTAACTAAAGACTAATCTGAAAGCACCTATTGCTCATTGCGCACGAGCACTTCGGGACACATAAAACTGCACGTTTACTCAACAATTTTTGAATGATGCTGTTAGCCATGGCAGCGTGGACACTGCCATCATTGACATCGTTCCTCTCGTTATGTTCAAACTGTGTTCACCAATTAATTACGCATCTGATCGCCTTGTCCACACTTCGAAAGCAGGGTAACACTGTATATTACAAGAGTATCACACAGCACATAGGATTGGAAGCTCAAGCGCTCATGTTCCACAATGCACAGACGTATAAATGTTGATCATTGCAGCTGCTTAGCGCTAGTATTAATCACAACAGTAATGATGGTATGGCAAGAACACAAAAATACGGTATGGCAAGAAAATCACGCGGCTACATGCATATGTGTAGAACTATATACATGCCATAGAATGAAGAATTAATCTAATACTATGGCGGTGCAAGGTGACATCCCGTCGTTTGCCAGAAGCGCTGTAAGAATATCTGAAATTACATTAAATCTGGTTTGGGCGCCAGTACAAACATGAGACTTACCAGCGCTGACAATTTTAGTCGGTTTTTTTTCTGCTTCAGGGGTCTTGGCACCGCAGGTATAGCACATTTGACAATGTGCATGGGGTGATTGTGAACGGAATCCCGCAGTTGTGGTCCCCTGGTAAGCTTTTAAAATTTCTGTGTTGTTAGGTAAGACAGTGATACTGTAATGGGGGGAGAATTTAATAAATCCGCTCACCTTCCTGGTCCTTTAGAAGCTGCAGAGCTGCCGCTAGTTCATTGATAGAGAATTTTTGGGGTTCCGCCGTCAACGGATGGCAGTGTTGGCTGGAGCTGTTATTATTGGAATTAGACATTTCAAAATGAACCAGGCGAAATGAGAGTGAGAACCTTATACGACCCAATATTCAACTCCAATCTAATGTGCTATAGGAATGCAAGGATGTGATTGGTTCATGGAGGAGGCTGAACCTTATTTTCAGGCCGACTGTAGTTTGTTTACTGGGACAAATCCGACAGACATACAGAACTCCAGCCAAATAAAAAAAAAGGTCAGTGACGATGATCGAGATCATGCTGGCATTGATGACAGCACCTTAAAGCAGCTTAAAGCCTCACACCTGACTTCCGGACCGAGACCAGAAACAAGGTAAGCGGTGACGAAATACCTACGAGATGCTGTCATTAATTGCGGGGTCATTAATTTAAGATGGTCGGATCTCAATGGACAAACAGAGAACAAAAGGCTTACTTGGAATCACAATTCAGCGAGTTCTTGAAGCAACAGCTTCAAGGTACTTTGACAGGCTTTTGGGATACTGTTAGCCTCGAGTTCTTGAAACGATGGCCCGAAATCAATGTTCAATACCCAGACCAGTCTAAACACCCAAACCTGACTGAGGAGGAGAAAGAGTTGCTTGGTGAGGCGGTGGCCAGGCGCAAACAGGTTTCTATATCTCACAATTTGTCATGTCATGACGTGTGCTCATGGTGTGATAGCAAATTAAGAACTGGTTCAATTATAGGTCCCACAAAAGTGGTCGATCGACTCTTAATTTAATGACGAAGTCAATAAACAAGATGCTTGGCAACCGAGCGAAAGGGACACGAGTCCATACAGAAGTCGAAATATTCTCGAAGATGAGCTACGACTCTGCCATACGGGGACAGATCCAGGAGAAGATCGATTCTGGGCTCCTTGTGACTCGAAATGAGAAACTGCTGGCTGTGCGGGAGACGACCAAGGCTGCGTATGACGCGGCTCCACCCGAAATTAAATCCTTGTGTAAGGCGAAGGCTGCCGAGGAGCGGAATACTAAGACCTCTGTGGTCTTACCAGGGGCACAAGCAACTGAGCGACCTACCAATGCACAGTATGCGAAGTGAGTCAAACATCCTTGAAACTCATATATCTTACTCACATCTATGGTTGTTTAGGGCGTTAGAAGAGTGTATCGGTCCAATCTCACAATTTTTGGATGCAGTGAGGCAACTTACTGGTTGGGAATGGACGGTCATTGGTGGGGGCCCAGACCCTCGCCTTGGTGGTATGCTCAACGTAGCGAGGTATGGGAATTTGTGATTTTGACCTCGCCGCTCTCTAATATTAGCTCCCCAGCTACCATACAGGCATCAACGAATCCGGCCTTACATGGAAGCAAGCAACGCCGAATTTTACGGAGAAACACCTGAATCCATATCTAGGTTTTCTTGCTACAGTATTCAGTACGTCTTTCTTTTTGATTTTAATTCACACACTAATGCATTATGGAACTACAGGCGAGGAAGACAGGAAACAGCGTGCTCTAGATTACATCCCTCCAGCGGTGCAAGATGGGAACGCCTCATGCCGAGATGCAGTGCCGACAACGTCGGATGACAGCGCACAACCCCCAGTGCCGTTTACACCGGATTCAGCACAATCACAGATGCCACTCGCATCGACATCGGCTTTGACTGCTGGTGGATCCAGCGAGGCGGCATCCACTGGTCTACCCATCATCCCTCAACCTCAACTCCCCGAGGGCCTTCCATATTTCAACTCACAAGGGCCTGAGTTTCCGTCATTCAACACTGACACATATTCCTTCTCTGGTGGAAATCCTGGGATTCTTCCCAGGCTGACATTATCGCCCATCCCTCAAACGCCGACACTGCCAGGGGGATCATTCCCATCATCCAGTTCATCAGCGCTTCCATCATCTCCCTCGCCTATCACATCGTGGAATGAGGGGTACTGGAACTCAATGCCGCCGCTTCATATGGTCCCCTTGAGTCAATCCAACGTACTACCTTACAACTTCAACTTCTATTCTCCCCCTTCCTTGGATGGCGCACACGGAAGCCAGCATCACATCAATTCGAACCCCATCAGCTTCCCTGGTACCGCATCATTGAATCCTCAAGAAGAACTTCACCTCGCGGCTGCTCCCCAACCAGCTCTTCACCTCGCGGCTGCTTCCCAACCAGCCCTTCACCTCGCGGCTGCCCCCCAGCCCAATAATTCCACCTTGAATCCCCCCCTCAACCTCGTTGTCACTCACCCTCTCCATTCGGACCAACCGGTCCTTCAAACACTGTCCACTGCCCTGGAAACACAGAGCCCAACTACCACGCAACTTGGGCAAGTACGAGTGGGAGTGGACGAAGTGGACAAGCATACCTCTTTGGCCGCTGCCGCCCTGACAACACATAGCCCAACTACCACACAACTCGGGCAAGTACAAGCAGGAGTAGATGAGGTGGACGAGCGCATGTGCACTACTTCTTTGGCCGGTGAGAATCTTGCTAAGAACAAAGTGAGTAAGGAGAAGCGCCCACGTCAAGCAGCAGTTCAGCCTTCTACCGACCTTTCTGGTGTTATTGTCCCCCCACGCAAGACAACGCGGGTTCGTCAAGAGTCGACTCGCATGGCCCAAGCCAACATGATAGGCAGAAGCATGAAGAGGCCCCAAACGGGCAAAGACGACAGCGCCGCCCCTCAAAAAAAGTAAGTATTGACATTTGATTCATTGTATTATAAGTACTTATATCCGATCACAAGGAAACGAAAATCTACGTGAATCATAGCATCCGTTTGAACGAGTGGTTGTCATTGTATTAGATCTACATACCAGATACATGTATATAGTTTTTTTTGTCAATGAATGCATGTTTATTTCTTGTCAAAATACACGACTTTCATCTCAGCAAAAATGTGCGCTTACAAGTGGTGTTTATTTCTTGTCAATATGCACGACTTTCATCTTAGAAAAAATGTGCACTTACAAGTGGGTGGACTTGTCAAAATTTCACGCTCATATCTCGATCTCGATCACATTGAATGCGGGAAATTGTTTGCATCAAGGAACATATCAAGAAGGATGCTTATATTAAGGCATGAAATCAGAATCTACATCAAGGTACATCATAAATAACTAGCTAGGTCGAGAACAAACCCAATATGGCAACCCACCAGCGCATGGAAGGATGAGAAGCTATTTATGCATCGTGGGAAGCCGGAAAGGGGAGGGGCAGAAGGGACGCCTGCCAAATAAGGACGCGTTCTGACGTTTTATGCATCGTGGGAAGCCCTTAAGCATCATGGCAGAGGCACGAAGTCTTGAAGCATCAAGCTACAGGCATCAGCTAACTAGACATATTTTGCATCACAGCCTATGTCTTATCAGACTTATTGATGCTTCATTCTGACAGTATAGCCTGACAAGTCTGCGTAGACTTCAGGTCTGCGGTCTGGGCACAAGGTCTGGGCACTCCTCGGCAGGCTCGGCAAATTCAAACGGAGTCTACTTGCAGGTGTACCTGCCCGCTGCCTGCTGCCCGCCAGTCAGCATCAGGAAAACGTCGAGTCCCTTTTCAGCCCTTGATTTCCTTCGGCAACTCCATAAGGTACATAAGGGTGTTTAAGGATGCCCAAGGCATCATTCTGCTACTTGGCGAACTTCGAATGAATTATTTCTAAGGAAGATAGAATTTTAAGGAAGACATATATGATATAAGTACTAAGTAGTGCTAAGCAAGCTCGTTGCCAAGTGCATGCACATCACATCTACAGCCTGAGACAAGTAGTGTCAATAAGCGTTACAAAGAGCACAGATAAACTTACAAGGTGTTGCCGTAAGCTCAACATGTGCTACCACTGTAGTAGGTCCATCAAGATTCAACCATTTCACCAGCTTCACCCTCAATGGACCAATGCTCGGGTTTGTTGACATTCAGAAACCCAGACTGCTGAGCAACCATGGCCCGTGCGTTGGTACGCAGCGCCTGGCGGAGGCGGGTTAGGCGTGATGTGACTGGCGGGAGAGGCGGGAGAGGGGTGTGATGACGGTCAGCCATTGCTCGGGGGGCGCCGGCATCTTCAAACTCCGTCAGAACATCGCCACCTGTGCCCAGACTTGTGCCCAGACCACAGACCTAAAGTCTATGCAGACTTGCGCCAAGACCGGCCATTTCAGAGACGCCCTCGCCCAGA